GAATAAAGTTGATTTAGGGTGAATTTCGTGAGGATAAGTTCAAAGAAGCAATGAGTGTTATACGATCGGTCGGAGATGAAGGGAAAGGTCAGGTGACTAAAGGACGACGTGGCGGTACATCAGGTTCCTTTTAACTCACGTTTTTTGGGGTTGTTTTAGTCGAGCAGTTGATATTTTCTTTTGTGAATTTATACTGTATTGTGATTCGCATTGAGGTGAAATGAGATATTTCAGTTAGCTAACGATTTTACTTCTTATTGGATGAAGAAAACATCGTTTCATTCGAAATGACTATTTTAGGTGCATCTGAAGTGATGAAAATAATTCGAACGATAAAAGAACGAGACATGGTGCCTTGTATCATATTCTCGTTCAGTCGTAAGGAATGTGAAGCATATGCCACACAGCTGAAAGACGTTGATTTTAATGATGGTTCGTTGCAGTATTTTACTTGGGTTGATTTCACGAGTTGGTCTCTTTTTATAATGATTCTGAATATCCACATTAATCAAAAAGGTCTTGTTTGAAATCCTTGTTTGTGCATAAAGCATGGAAATTTATGTTCAGTTCATGCTGTCTGAACCAATAAAGTGCTAAAATTGTGTAATTTTTCAATAAAACCTTATTGAATGGTGAATTTTGATGTAATCATGTCAATCATCTTTCTGATAAAAGTCTGATAAAAGCTTGGAGCNTGGAATTATTGAAATTGTTCTGATATCGATGAAAGTCGAATTCGAATTTCAGAGAAATCCAAGAAAGTAATAAAAGAAATCTATACGAACGCGATAAGTTTGCTGTCGGATGAAGATCGATTGCTACCGCAAATCGGACAAGTTCTACCGTATCTGTTGCGTGGTATTGGAATTCATCATTCGGGTTTATTGCCTATTGTCAAAGAAGTCATTGAGATACTGTTCGGTGAAGGACTTCTGAAGGTATATTTCTATACTTTAGAACTACTATATCAGATGGTTTGCATACTACTTAAGCAAGTGATTTCCATTTCAATATTGGAACATCCATTAAATTTTTATTGAATTGAAGAGATTGTTATGAATCGCTATCAACATTCAAAATTGAATCGAGTGATTTCAGCACTGAGCAATTCAAAAATTTTATGATCCTATTTAAGACATTGTTCGCCACTGAAACATTCGCAATGGGTTTAAATATGCCTGCACGTACGGTTCTCTTCACATCTGCACGTAAATTCGATGGAAAAGATTATCGGTGAGTTTACCGACGCAGTTTTCTTTTTGAACTCTTTTGATAATACGACCACGTAAATATTTTTGCGGGGTCATGATTCCATTAACACTGAAATTTTGTAATATGGAGAAGGCCCCAAGTTCAAGAATTGTTGATCATGTGTTGAACGATGAATGTGAATATTCAATCAAGTCAAATTGCATAATCCAGATGGATAACGTCGGGTGAATACATCCAAATGAGTGGACGAGCGGGTCGCAGAGGAAAAGACGATCGTGGTCTGGTTATTCTCATGGTAGATCAGCAGATGGGAGCAGATATCGCTAAACAAATCATCAAAGGTTTTAATCGTGTTCCGTCATTATATTTAATGAGTACAATTTCTTGAATGATTTTCATTCTCGCAAAGGGCCGTGATTTATCTGCTCATGAACGTTTATAGTAATTGATTCTAACCGTTTATAGTAATCAGTATTGTTGCTGATGTCTTCAGGAACCGCAGATCCGTTGAATTCACAGTTTCGATTAACCTATAACATGGTATTGAATCTACTCCGAGTGGAAGGAATCAATCCTGAATTTATGCTCGAAAATTCGTTTTACCAGTTCCAAAACTATGACGCATTGCCGCAACTCTACGAAAGTATGTTTTTTCTCTTTGTGAAGATGTTGATGAGGTCATAGTCATTTTCTTTCGTGTTTCTTTTTAAGCAACTTTATCGTTTGGTTTGTGAAATTTTTGAGCCCTTGGTCATCTCAAAAGCTGCTGAGGGTTGTCACTGTGTCTTTAGATTTATCATTCTCAATATTTTCTGGATTTTGCGTTTATGTCTTCGAAGTTTTCAATCTTCTTTACCTTCCTCGTTTATTGCAATTTTTTGATCGTTAAATTTCACTAATATTGGCGTAATCAATGTGTTGACATAATGACAGAATGCGTGATTTAATCAAATTTAGATGTGAAGAAGAAAGAAGCAGAACTGAAGAAGACAGTAATTGATCGAGAAATCGAAATAGCTGGTTATTATCAGCTGGAAAAACAGATTGTGTGCATTAAAGAGTCGATTAGAGAAGCAGTAATGAAGCCGTCTGTTGTGGTGCCATTCTTGCAAACCGGCAGATTGGTTTATGTAATTTTTGAATTCCTTTACTGACATTCCTCGTGTTTTGCTCTTTTTTGAAATGTAATTGTTGCTATTTTATCATCTCCACATATGCTGACTTTCCCAAGGTACTGTATTCAGCTGATTGCGAATACATTATACTTATACATTATTTGTGAATTTTAAAAACTACAATCGGAGTAGAAGAAAATTTTTGATCAGGCGATTTTAGCCACTGTTTTTAAATCTTGTGGCCCTGAGATCTAATGTTTTTTTTGGAATTCAAATCGTGCCTGAATTAAGATCTAATAAAGCATGTGAGAAATTATTTCTTCAATTATTGGGTTATCTTCATTTATGTTC